TGCTTTTTGTTTTTATGAATATCTCAAAAACAAAAAATCTGAAGAAACCCACTTTTTCCTAGAACAGCCCCCATATAATGAAGTTTTATGTACGTCAATCTCACTAATAAATCTAACAAATCTCGCGCGCCTTTTTTAATCAAGTTACACTAACATCGACACGTGTTCATCTATCATCATCTGTCGTCATCATTTTTAATATTAATATAAATTCCCACCAAAAAAAAGTTTAAAATTTATACTACACTCATTACTAAACATGTCTTTTCGACAACGTAAAGTTTGGTCAATTGCGAATACAGGAACATTTGATAATCTTAAGCTTGAAGAAGATCAATTGCCGCCGCCACCACCTCAACATCTTTTAATAAAAGTTACAGCCATTGGATTGAATTTTGCAGATATATTTGCCATATTTGGACTTTATTCAGCAACTCCCAAAGAAAAATTTGTTCCCGGTTTAGAGTTTGCAGGTGTTGTTGAGGGTGTAGGTAAATTTATTGTTTCTATTTTTTGGGGCGAGAGAGAGAAGGTGAAAATGGGGGGTTTTTTTTTAAAAAAATTAAAACCAATTATTTTATTTTACTATAAAAATAAAAGGAGAAGGATTACAAGAATTAGAATGGTTGGGTAAAAGAGTTTACGGAGCTACGAAATTTGGTGGTTATGCTACATGGATTAATCAAAGAGTTGAATATGTTAAAAATACACCAGACGATTGGACAGATCAACAAGCTTGTGCTTATGTGGTAAATAATATTGTTATTATTATTATTTTAGAAAGAAAGAAAAAAGCAAACTAAAGTAAGATATTTATATCCACGCGTTTATATACACACACTCTCATTTTACACAAATATGCATGTATAGGTTCAAGCGATGACAGCTTATTATGCAATAGAAGAACTTGGATCACGCAAAGAGAATAAAGTAGTGTTAGTACATTCAGCAGCAGGAGGTGTCGGATCACATGCATTGTCTATACTTGATAAAATATCGGCAAAAGCTGTTGGTACAGTTGGAAATGTGGAGAAATTGGATTTATTGAATCAGAAGTATGGTGACAATCCGAATTTTGCATTTATTCTTCGTTCTCCAGCTAAAACTTTTGAAAAAAGAGCCAGAGAAGCATTAAATAAAATATGCAATAGTAGCAGTGATGATGGTGGCGAAGTTGGCGGATTTGATTTGGTGTTGGATAGTGTTATGGGAGAATGGTTTTGGCCCAATTATAGGTTGATGGATAAAGAGGGTAGATTAATATTGATAGGTGCAGCAAATTTTACTCCTACAGGAAATCTGCATTTTCTTTGGAATGTAGTTGAATGGGTGAAATTAGGGTGGAAGTTTATTTGGAGACCAAAAATAGACCCAATGGAACTTGGTCAAGACAATAAAGGGGTAAATATATTTTTGATAATAACTAATTACAATTGATTGATTGCGATAATCTTATATTATATATATTACATTATATTAGATTTTCGGATTTAATTTAATCCATATTTATGATAGACCTGAACGATTAAATGCAATTTTTGAAGGGCTTCAACAATTAGATTAAAATGTTACACCAATGGATTCAAATCATCAACTTTTACATTCTTTTTGGGCCACCCGCTTTATTATTTCTTTCTTGTTAACATAAACATTTATGACAAAATAATATAATAATGTTTAGTTATTATTGTAATGGTGAAATACTACCATGAAAATTTACAAGAATAAAAATCATGACATGCATGTCACATGTTATACATTATCAACCACGTGATAACGTGAATATGCATAGAAATTCGTTTAATTGAAAGCAATCTTTTAAGATTCCACTCTATCATCATATTATATATCGATTGATAAGTATCCTGAACCTTTCTTTTTATTAAACAATATCAGCAACAATTATATAACAAATAATAATTAAATATATTAGAATTCAAAAAAAAAGAAGGATTTTTAATCTATCAAACAAAATTTTATTATTATTATTAAAAAAAATAAATATTTTTTGTATTTATATTTTATTTCATTATTTTTGCTTGTTAACCAATTACTAGTGTGGTTTCATCTGCGAAATCATAGTTAGGAACTTCAAGATTAAGCGGAGCAGGTCCTTTTCTAATTCTGCCAGATATATCATAATGAGATCCATGACACGGACAATACCATCCACCAAAATCACCTGCTTCTCCAATTGGTACACAGCCTTTTAATTAATTATTAATTAATAAGATTAAAATTTTGTTTTTTTTAAAAATAATAAATAATAATAGATAATATATTATCTGCATTTTACCTAAGTGAGTGCACACTCCCTAATAATTATTAGTAAAAATAAATTAATAAATAATTATTTTCTAAATTTATTTAGTAGGTAAGTATACTTACAAGCATTACCAACCATTCGGGTTTTTTTGTACGTTGAGAATCAAGTTGAGGGTCTACGAGTTCAGTCAATTGAACAGAGTTTGCTTCTTCAATTTCATGCGGTGTTCTATGTCTAATAAATACCGGTTTGCCACGCCATTTTACGGTAAAATTTTTACCCTCAGGAATTTTTGATAAATCTACTTCAACTTTTGCTAGAGCCAACACATCAGCTGCTGCACTCATATTAGCCAAAAAATCTGTCACAAATGATTTGGCTCCAACTGCTGTCAATACCCCAGTTGAACCAACTATCATGTAAGAAAATACTCTGCTACTATCTTGATCATCATTTTGTTTTTTATACGCAGAAAAATCTGGAATTGCTGTGGATTTGGATGAGTCTACTGCTGCAGCTGTTGATAATCTTCTATGATAATATCCTGTTGATGGAAGTCCTATATATATGTTTATGTGTGTGTAAATATAATCTAATCTAATGCTATATATATTTATATATTTGAAATTTAAAAAAAAAATATTCATTTTTACCATTTATGATGGTTTTTGAAGCTATGGATCCATCAGAATTTCTTTTCGCTCCAATAGCCCATGAGGGAGAAGATTTAACTTTCAAACCACCACTACTACCAAGACTTGATTTTTCAAAAAGTTGTCTTATTGCAACAGAAGAGTAAGGTGCATTGATAGAGGTACGATTAACAGAGGCAAAAGTAAGTCTTTGTGCAAGTGCCATCATATAACATATATATAGAAGTAAAGTGAGGGTAAAAGAATTTTTTATTTATAGTGTTTGGATAATTATCAATTCAATTTAAAAAAATTTTTTTTTTATGTATAACCCATACATAGTGCGTTTCGGGATTTTGGGGTTTAATGTACTGGTCCGGTTTCGGTTCCAAGGCCGGTTAAAGACCGGATATTAAACTACGGGAAAATTAATTTATAAAAAAAAAGTACAGTTTATCAAAAATAGCTGACCTCTAAAATGCTAAGGCTAATAACTATATCTAGGAATGGAAAAAATTCTATTTTTCCAATTAAGCAACATTGTAATAGAAATTTTATTAACTGCTAGATAATATTAATATGAGGCTACTATTTTTGAACCTTTGTTGTCTCTAAATATGTAAATGATATAAATGATATAGACCCCGATTTTCTGAAACACTTGTTTACAATAATAAAGAAATTAAAAAGGGCTTATGTTGATATAGAAATAAATACCTGGTGAATGAGATGTTTTGCTGGGTGGTATAGTTTGTAAAGGTTAAGGCTCTGAACAAATCAATGAAATTCAAACCTATAATTAATTTGATTTGATATACCATATGAAATAATTAAATTCTGCACAATTTTAAAAGAGTTGCCTTGGAAATAAATGGTTTCAAAAGATAAAAAAAAAATTATTTGGTTTTTTCATCTACAACTGTGAGATGGTTCCATGCTTCACCTCTTATTCTTCTTTGAACACATTGCACTGTGCCTGTTGAAGAAGTAATTGAAGATGCATCATTTTCAATAATGCAATTATCATCATTTATAAATTTAAAACAATGAATTGCACAACTGTAAATTATATTAATATTAATATGTAGAGTTTATTTGTAATATAAATTCTTATTCAAATTATTCAAATTATTTTTATTTGTTTTATTATTCATTTTATTTGTTTGCTAATTTTGTTCAAATGAATATTCAATGTATTTAAATACTCAAATAAAACAATTTTTTTGAATTTAAAATTTGATTTGATTCAATTTGTTCAGAGCCTTAGTAAAGCTTTTAGTTCGGCAGGGGGGGAAATCACCTAATAGCATCATTGAAAATGTTCCAACTATATATATGTAAACTTGATAGGTTGGTCAGTTTATTTGTAATATAAATTCTTATTCAAATTATTCAAATTATTTTTATTTGTTTTATTATTCATTTTATTTGTTTGCTAATTTTGTTCAAATGAATATTCAATGTATTTAAATACTCAAATAAAACAATTTTTTTGAATTTAAAATTTGATTTGATTCAATTTGTTCAGAGCCTTAGTAAAGCTTTTAGTTCGGCAGGGGGGGAAATCACCTAATAGCATCATTGAAAATGTTCCAACTATATATATGTAAACTTGATAGGTTGGTCATGTGGTGTGGGCTCATGTGATTGACTTATTGAGTAACCAAGCTGTCAAATTAAATTCCTATAATAATAATAATAAGGCCAATTTATTATCAAGTTTATGTGGTAGAATTAGGTTGACACTTGACTCAATCAGGTGACTTTTTGATGCAAGATTTTGGGAATTGAGTCAAAGCCAAATTAAATTTACAACATGTATAGTTCTAACTATACTTGGTGCTAAGGATTACATAAGGAAAAGAATAGACTGTGAGAATTATTATAGGAAAAAATTTACCTAAAAAACATTTTTGGCCTTATAAGAAAAATCTATAAAAAAATAGACTATAAAATTTATCATAATCCTTTAAATTCAGCTTGATATGGTTCAGCTTATAGGTGCTACCCAATTAAAAATCAAGAATCCCAAATCCCAAATGTAGATCAATCTTCCTGTCCTTGCTTTCCTAGCCAATAAGCATCTAATGTAACAAAGTCACTTTTACAAGTCCCTAGGCACTAGAGACCCCAGTTTTATGTGGCAACAAACATTAAATTATGCAAGCAACACTTGGTACAGTCAGTGCTCAATATAATGAACCTATTACTGTTTTTAAAAAATCATTTTATAAACTTATATTAAAAGCAAATAATTTTAAATCAATATTATTTGTTATGCACCATTATACCAACAGGCAGTGCGTAAAATTGAACAGGCACAACGGGTGCATGTAACATTATTAACTAATCAAATTTTGAACTTCTGGAGATAGTTTCTAAATTTATACTAGTTACACAACGAAATTTACTCACTGCCAACAGGACACTATATATACCAATAGGATGTTATATTGACAAAATGTTTTCTACATTCTATCAGTTTAGCATAATATTTCTTTGTTTTCCTGCCATAATCATATCATAGTTTAATATCCGGTCTTTAACCGGCCTTGGAACCGAAACCGGACCAGTACATTAAACCCCAAAATCCCGAATCCCAAATGTAGATCAATCTTCCTGTCCTTGCTTTCCTAGCCAATAAGCATCTAATGTAACAAAGTCACTTTTACAAGTCCCTAGGCACTAGAGACCCCAGTTTTATGTGGCAACAAACATTAAATTATGCAAGCAACACTTGGTACAGTCAGTGCTCAATATAATGAACCTATTACTGTTTTTAAAAAATCATTTTATAAACTTATATTAAAAGCAAATAATTTTAAATCAATATTATTTGTTATGCACCATTATACCAACAGGCAGTGCGTAAAATTGAACAGGCACAACGGGTGCATGTAACATTATTAACTAATCAAATTTTGAACTTCTGGAGATAGTTTCTAAATTTATACTAGTTACACAACGAAATTTACTCACTGCCAACAGGACACTATATATACCAATAGGATGTTATATTGACAAAATGTTTTCTACATTCTATCAGTTTAGCATAATATTTCTTTGTTTTCCTGCCATAATCATATCATGTCATTATCATTATCCATTAAGATTAAAGAATGGCATATATCTTGTGATGATAGCCAATTAGCCAACTAATTTGTTAAGTCATTTATTAGCTAGCTAAGCTGTTTAAATTATTGGTATAATGTTGGGGGATGGTCATGATCCACCTCAGATAGTGGAGCTATATATATATACTAGAATGTGATATGGTGCAAACTTAGTCACTGGACTTTTTATTGGCTGTGTACATCCTTTAATTCCTCCAAAAATAGAAACGTATGACCAAAAAAACAAACTATAGGATTAAAGCTAAGACTTTTTTCCACAATTTTATGATTTCATTTTGTTTGATACATCATGTTACTGTAGAGGAATTAAGCCTTAAAGTTGCACAAGTTGCTACATATAATAAAAAAAATTTTCAATTAATTTTCAAAATTTCAATAAGCACAATCACCTGGTTTTTGTTAACCAACATTATTTGGTATATTATATAACTAACATAATAACTTGTTTATTTATTATGCAAGTCCCTTTAAAACTTGCTTTTTGAAAATTTCAAATTTTCAGTTCACTATTCTTTATATAAAAAATTGCATGTAACATGCCATTTTTGGGTTTAACATAGTAAACTTTTGAAACTTTGAGGCTTAATTCCTCCACAGTAACAAACAAATGAAATCATAGAATTGTAGAAAAAGGTCTTAGCTTTAATTCTATGATTTGTTTTTTTTTTAGAATTATAGAATTTATTCTGTTATAACAACATGTCTCTAAAATTTATTATTTAGTGATGCATCAGGAAATTTTCCCTGCTGTAATATTACATCCGTAAATTTTAATATGTAAAGTTGCAATATTTGCATAAAAAATTATGTAATATTTACACTCAATGTAATAATTGCATAATTTTTGTATGATTTTTGCATAAT